ATCGTTGCGTGGATAACTTTAAGCGGAACGTACGTTCGACTGAATAATATTGATTCGGATAGGTTCCACATAAGTAATAGATTTGATCGTTGTTATTGTTGAGCATTGTTCTTTCGGATAAAATCTTGCTATCACTGGTATCGATAAGTGCGCAACGACTCTTGACAACGAAAATCACAGCTAATGCACTCAACTGAGTTAGTAATTCGTACATTGTACTGGAATGCTGCAAAAATAATTCAGTTTATTTTACTGATGAAAGAGATAATGAGGATACGATCAAGAAAGAGAAACATTATTAAGAAAATAATTTCGGTTATGAACAAACAAAAGAGATTATCAAGAATGAATATTATTGACGAATGATGAAATGAATTTGATGATTAATCATCAGCCTATCTACAATTCATGTAAATACTTAAGCATCGGTCGAGTAAGCAGTTAATCTCATTCGATGCTAATGAATGACATCTTTGACATTTGACGAATCACTCGTGAATGCCAGTGTTTTGAGTGACTATTCAATAAATAAATGCCTGAATACCGATCCAGATATGAACAGTATGATATGTATATCACTGAACACGCTGTAGATTAAACACAACGAATCGAATGAATCGATTCAGTTCGAAGCCGTCATCTCAGTGACTGTTTGTTTGAACAGCTTGGATATATAAACTCATCAAAATAATTCAAATGAACTAAAAAACATTCACAGTATTTCATTGCTTNCAGCTTGGATATATAAACTCATCAAAATAATTCAAATGAACTAAAAAACATTCACAGTATTTCATTGCTTACCTTCAAACTCAACTGACAGATACATCACGCATTCTCGATGTTGCCTTAATAGAGTATCTTCTAAAAAAACGCCTGACTTTCGAAAGCAATTCCCTGTATCGTTCCAGAATTTTTTTGAACGGTTTAGAATGTTGATCGATGATTTTTTGTGACTCAGAAGTATTTGTTAACCAACAAATTCAAGAACTGCACCAAAATTCGACTGGGAGCTTATCGAAATAACGAAAAAACCACTGATTTTTGTGGAGATCAGAAAAATTCTCAGTGTCAAATCAATCTGATGACACCAAATACGAACTGTGTAAAAACTTGCGCACTCGTTAGCGATCATTGAATTTATGATAATTCTCTGTTTCAGCTGTTGCTTCCAAATGACAATCATCGGCAACTAAGCAATCACCACGAAAAGTTTATTGAAGATCTCACCGACAGTTTCATGGAAAAAATATACGAACTGGTAACAAATAGTCTTTCAAACAACACAAATCAGATAACAGTCTCATGGAACGGAACTCGTATCATGAC